TAGTTTCTGTGTTCACTGCCGAGTTATATGCTATTTCTCTTGCCCTGGATCATGTAGAAGCTATGCAGTACAGCAATTGTACTATTTACACTGATTCTCTTAGCTCTCTACTGGTCCTGGAATCGCTTAACGTTAGTTCTCACCCTGTTCTCGTCGATATTCAACACCGATTGGCCCACTTTTCGCAGTCTTCTATTTCCATCCAGTTTTTCTGGATCCCTGTTCACGTCGGTATTCACGGGAACGAGCTCGCTGATACCGCAGCTAAGTCCGTCTGCTCTGGTGCCATCACGGCCGTGCTTGTCCCATACATGGACTACAGTCCTGTCTTCAAGGCGAGGCTTCGTGCCAGTTGGCAGTCGACTTGGAGTGAGCAACGCCATAATAAGCTTTTCCAGATCAAACCTTCTGTTGGTCTTTGGCCGTCTTGCTTACGTAAGGATCGGAAGGAGGAAGTAGTCCTGGCAAGGCTACGCATTGGTCATAGTTTTTAACCCATCGTTTTCTTTTATCGGGTATTGACCCACCGATGTGTAGCCATTGTGAAACTCAAGTCACAATAGCCCACATTTTACTGTCATGCCGTCGTTACGACCGTGAGCGGCGGCATCATTTTAGACACATTTTATCTAAAAGTTTACCCCTGACACTGGACAGTGTCATTGGTAATGGTGACATTGTCCGATTAGATTGTATTTTTAATTTTTTTACACACTATAGGTATTTTTAATTCTGTATAAATCTTTTATTGACATGTATTGGTTTTAACACGCTGTATTTTTACATTTTACATTAATTTACTTTCTTTGTTTTTACCGGTTGTTTGGCGCAGATAGCCTTGCTGCTTTGCGCCATAAGACACCAACCAATCTAATAAAAGAAACTATGTTTACTTAGTTTAACATAACGCATTTGTAAGCTCAAGACTCATTGTTTTGCATAATTTAGGAGTGTAACATGCTAATTTAGTCGCACGACAGTCTACTTCTACGTGCAGAAATACCTTTAGCTGTATCTACACGACAATCCACTGTTTTTATACACAATAATTCTCTACCTTATATATTGTTTTAGGAGCCCGATATTTCACCTACCTACATGACAAACTTTTGTCATACCTGCATGAAGCCATAACTAGTTATACAACAATTCATTCTCTTGGTACGTGACCATCCTTCACCTTTTGTGCATGGAAATTCATCGTCTTAGATGCACGACCTTCCGCCACTCTTAATGTGTGACAGTAACACTATAACCATACGAAAATCCACCACTCTTAATATGTGACAGTAACACTATAATCATACGAAAATTCACCACTCTTAGTACGTGACAGTAACACTATAACCATACGAAAGTCTACCGCTCTTAGTACGTGACAGTAACACTATAACCATACGAAAGTCCACCGCTCTTAATGTGACAGTAACACTATAACCATACGAAAATCCACCACTCTTAGTACGTGACACTAACACTATAACCATACGAAAGTCCACCGCTCTTAGTACGTGACAGTAACACTATAACCATACGAAAGTCCACCGCTCTTAATACGTGACAGTAACACTATAACCACACGAAAGTCCACCGCTCTTAGTACGTGACACTAACACTATAACCATACGAAAGTCCACCGCTCTTAGTACGTGACACTAACACTATAACCATACGAAAGTCCACCGCTCTTAGTACGTGACAGTAACGCTATAACCATACGAAAGTCCACCACTCTTAGTACGTGACAGTAACGCTATAACCATACGAAAGTCTACCGCTCTTAGTACGTGACAGTAACACTATAACCATACGAAAGTCCACCGCTCTTAGTACGTGACAGTAACACTATAACCATACGAAAGTCCACCACCCTAGATACCTCACACTCCATCATTAATACACAACAGGCTAGGACTCTAGTTATATCCTTGCTTCACAACAATTTACTACCTTAGCTGTTCAACTGTCCACCACCACCACCTTTTTACAACAGGTACATTAGTCGTATCAGTTTTACGAATATCCAGTTCCCTAAACACGAAAACCTAACATTCTAAGAATGGAACAATTCAATCGCTTTAGCTTCACTATAACTTTTAGCCGATTTTTCTTCTTCTAGTAACAATACAATAGATGATAAAATAGTAGCTTCTAGTTTGGTGTTAAAAAACATAAAACAATTTTCGTCAAACTGAAATGAAACAGAAAAGTTAGGAATATCGGAAAAATAGATAAAAAAAATGCATAATTGAAGCATTCGATGACGAATATATTACGAACTTAATATGAACCTCCACCATATCAGGTATATGTGTACATTAAGGCTTTTAATAAAAAGTGAAATTGCTTTATTGACTAGAAATCTCTAAAGCTTCTTAATTTGCTAAATGAAACCATAATAATCATATTAATTTTACTGGACAAATTTCATACGAAAGGAATATCGAACATACTTCAGTATGTAATCGCTGGTAAACGTTCCATTTTTATATCGACTCACTTTTATCTTGAACAGATCTTGTATCTTAGCAAAGTGCACAGTAATTTACTGAAAAGTTACTACTATTCCCCCAAAATTAATTCAATAATATAATTTACAGTTTCCATATAAGTCAAATATGTGAAAGTGGGGTGCTATAGCACCCGGTTCAAACGCCTCTGTAATGGTGAGAGAAATATAGTTAACTGTGATTTACTGAACCGTAGCAATATGAGCTGTTTAGGATTTGTACCCATTAAAAGAAAGTATGGTGATGTTCAAACTAATTATCATTCACAGAAATATGCTTATCGGTTTAAACTAAATTTATCTTTCGCTTGAACTTACAGTAAAAGAATCGGAGTTGATTGATATCTTTTTAAATTTACGTTGGTTTTCAGTTCTTCATTCCGTCTCTCACGTGATTAATGCTCAAAGCTTCTCACGTCATTATAATTATCACTTCAGGGATGTGAACGTTGCTAATTTTTGTGGACAGGTAAGATAGTTCAATTAATTTATTCTGGTAGAAAATAAAATTAGAGTAAGATAATTACAAAATATATTCTAAGAAAAGATAAGATTGGAACTTCTCAATTAGAAAATCTTCTGGTAAAAGGTGGTACTGGCTCAGTTAGCTTAGACTTTTTTCCGATAAAACAAATGTGTCTTGGAAAATAAGACTGTCAGATAACTTCGTTTTTTGATAGAAGACTGGGTCAGGTAAGGTAGAAGGTATTTATTTAGGTAACAGTTTTGTTAAAACTACGTTATTAATTCTTTATTTATATTAAAATATCGCAGCAACTTTTGCTCTACATTTTATTTTGTATATTTCAGGACCCTTTGGATACAATACTCGGAACAGGTATGTTTTAAGTTTTTCTAGTGGTTTATCTAATTAGGTTAGAAAGAAATACCTTAATTTCATTACATAAAATCTTGCAGTTCTGACTTGACGTATGGCACTTTGTAGACATGTGTATAGTTTTGATGAATGAGTCAGCGCCACCGCCTAATTTCTTCTTTACCCACAAGTGTTCAGGCTGAATAGTGTGTCATGTGTTAGAAAGTTAGTTCAACTGCTGTATTAGTGTGAACTAAGCTAACATTGTACATTTTTAAATACACATTTTGTCTTTTTCAAAGTAAGTTCAGGCGACACACTAGAAGTCTTCATTGTATTTTGGGACGTTATGTATATGGGTCAGTGGACAAATGATGGTCGAAATAATTTGTTATATACGTTGTCACAGTCATTATATATATATATATATATATAATATACTTCCACACACAAACACGTATGTGTGTATACATAAATACGCCCATTATGAACTTTGACATTTAGAGTGGGCCACGTTAGAGTAACACAGAACTAACTAGCTACGTTCTGTCAGAAAGGTTAACATGAGCAAATCCACAGGAAAAGGGACATTAGGAAAACCTAGTGCTTTTAATAATCCTAAAAGCCACAGCAAGTATAACTGTATAATGACACCAGAGGGTGCTAGATAGCCCTGAACTATAACTTTGATATTCAGTACTGGTAAAATGACAAGGAAATCGGAGAGTGTGGGTCAGGAAGACTAGTTAAACGGAGTGTTCCAAAGATATTTACCTTTTTTGTTTTTTTATTTCAGTGTAGAGTACAGCGTCTAAAGTTTATTTTATCATCACATCGAGCTGATAATTCTAAGATTGCAAGAGAGTTTTAAAACACTTTATTCTTATACTGAACTCTCTTTTTTTGGTAATTCCAAGACGATCAGTTAATTCTACTTTATAGGGATGGTAGTTATTTGTAAATGACGTGGATATGCAATAAATCTATATATCAATAAATCTTAAATTTGTATTTACATAACTCTATTAATGCTTACCTAACCTTACTATGTGCTATGTTTGTTTTAATATATAAAGAAATAATGTAATTTAGAAGTAAAAAAATATTCAGGGAATAAATTAAAAACACAATATAAATGAAAATATGTATAAGAAAGAGTGCTTGCACGCACAGTTTTTCCCTTTTTTTTATTAACTTAACTGATGAAATATATCGCCAGAAACCATCAGAAAATGATGAATGGATTATACAACCCCAGGCGACCCATTTCTCAGCAGAGTCCAACGTGAAACAATTCATAGTTAGTTAATTAAATGCCATCTTTGGTATGTTTGTACTGTTCGCGGTATTACGATTCAATAGTGACCTTTTCACTATGAATATTATGAAAATACAATAGTAATTTTCAGTTTTGGCTAGAACGTATCTGATTGTGGGTCTTATGTTACTTTAAATTGTGTCACATGAATTATTAGTGTTTCCTGTTTAAAGAAGAAAAAAAACGTTGTACGTTATTCCGTTTCTTCCTTATAAATCAAAACCGTTTAAATATAAAGGTAATTTTTCCTAAGAATCAAGAGCAGTGGTATACGAAGTCATTTAATGTTTTATGTCTGACTAAGTATTGTATCGAACTAGGAATCAAATTACTGAATGTCTTTTGTTGCCCAAAGATTAATGGTGCAACTCATTTTATATCTCATTCAAAGCTACTGGCATTACATACATGATTGTCTGATGTAAAAAAAAGAAAACTTATAAATTTTGAATAATGTGTATAGAAGATGCCTTTGATTTAAACCACGATAGAAAGGGATTTAAAGAATTTGTATTAGAAGAATACTAAGAATAAAACTTGACGATAAGTAAAGAGATTGGATGAAACGTTTACTTCAGACATACATAAAACTTAGCCTTTCACGAAACAAAAGACACGTGAAAGATGCGCCTACGGTAGAAAGGACACTCTTTACTCTGTGGTCAGCTTTTTTGTGTATGATTACTAAATTAAAAAGGGAAAAACGACCAACACTGGGTGATCTGAGTGGAAAAGTGATAACTAACTTCTTTTAGAGCCGTATTCAATTTTAAGTTTGTCTAAACGTTTTGGAATGCCATATTATCTGACTAAATCCATTTAACCTAATCGTATATGATGCTCATATGGAGAGAAATTCTCGCCTAGACTAGTTCATCTGACTTAATTGCAAGGTTAATGGTTCAAAGTTGAGTTCATTTTGTTCATATAGAGTTTAATTACACATATGTGTACTAACATTTTAAAAATGAATTTTAAACAATGAATTTTATTCTTAGCCATGGAGGGATGTAGTTTTAACTTAAATTTAAACTTGCAGATGGCTACGGATGGTTTGAGTATATAGGAAAGAAATATTTTGATTGCAAATGTCAATCATAATTTAAGTCCTCATCTAATTTGACTCAACAAAATCGTGATACTATATCTAGACATCAGATGTCATAAAACTTTAAAGAATAATGTGTAACCTACACATCCATGAATGTTTACTACAACCATAAAACTATACAAGATCAAGTACAATAATCAAGATATATATATATATATATATATAAAAAATTGGTAATTTAAAAACTTGCAACTAGGGATTGTCTAGCTGATACCATTCATGATGATCTACTGTAGCTCTTGATTATTTGATTGCATTAGTTTGAGATGTAAAATGTTCAGTTGCAGCTGGAGATTTGTTTGAGAGTATAGTGAATATTTATAGTTCCTGTGTAACTACATTCTCTATCTATAATGCAAAACAATGGGCAAATATATGCTTAGACTAAAGGTTGGCTCCCTAAAGACACCTATTATATGGTTTACAAAGCATTGAGTATGTACAAGTTAGTCATCTAATGTTCATCTATTATTGGCTGGTTATTCCTGTTTTACCTTGTACATAAGCTTTTTAAAGGAACATCAGATATCTGTAAGAAAGCTAACTTCAAGGGGTAATGATAACATCATTTGCACTAGAATTATGATGTTTTTTTAGCTTATGTAAAATGTAGAATTCTGAAATCGACTTTTCAATACCCCTGTGACCTTTGCAGTACCTTACTTAGTGTTCTACAAAAAGTTTGGGTGCAATATACCAAGCCATTTTTGTTGTATGCTGGCAAGAGAATGATGATAATCGGTCTGTTTTGAGCAGATTTTCTTTTTCATGTAAGTCTAATATAGGGCTTTTTTGGGGCATATATATATATATATATATACAGCCTTGGCAGTGAATAGTAAAGGTTTTAAGGTGTTGTTTAAACTGAATTGTTACTGTTTAAGGTGCTTGTTGCCTAAACGTTCTCTTAGAGTTTTGTGCGATACCTGTTATGAACCACTGTGATAGATAAGACATGTTCATTTGTCACCTGCAAACTAATAATAGAATATAATGTAAACTTACATTTATCAACTCCATTCAGTATATTTATACTCGGTGTTGCCTGCTGTTGAGTACAGTTTACTCGGCAATTATGTAAATTAGAAACAGACAGTGTAATATTTTGTGTTTCCTCACAGATCTGATCACATTAAAGTGGTTACCTGTGAAATGTATATAAAGTGACATACAGTGTACATTTCTGTATAAGGTTCTCTCTCTTGGAATTGGAAAATATGGTGTCCACCTAGACATTTCATGAAACATCATAAATATACACAGGTGCACTTAACAGAAGGGTAGAGGTAGCTATTTCAATAGCACTCCCCTATGTACCATTGCGATCTTTGGCCTTTTCTTGTATGTACTCTTAAATGCTAGAATGGTCTCTAATTTCTAGCATATCAGCATAATGCCTTATGCCATTCGGTCCATGTCCAGTAAGTAAATGGGACATGGACAACATGAAATTGATGAGTACACTGTGGACATTAAAGTGTTACTTCTCAGATCTAGTAATTATAAACGAAAATGCTCTAAAAAGGGCAATTGCCATAACCTACAATGTGCTTTAAACTCCACAGATTAGGACGTGTAAGAATGGCATCTGGGCTTCCCTGCTGACATCTAAATTTTTGTTTAAGTTGCAACACCAATCTTTCATAGGTTTGTCGCTGCCAATATTCATCAACTAGAAAGTATCGGAAATTAGGGTACTCGGTTATGTCTTCTCCATCAGCACTTGTGATAACAAAAAAACCTGAAATCTTCTTTTTGATATTTCTCTGATATGTTTACTGACTGATGACCTAGATAGTTTCATGGCAGCAATATGTTTAGTAGAATCTACCATCAATGTAGGCTTTTTAGCTTTAGGCTCTTCCTGAAGCTCATCTAGTGTGCAATCAAACTTCTGTTTGACAGCAATTTTTGTACTTTTTCCAGAAATTTCATAATGGGGAAGGTATTTTCTGTACAAGCAACGTAGTCTGTTCACCTCTTTTAGGCAAGTACCGTTCACAGTAATTAATGCAGAATGAAAATTTAGGAGATGCATGCCATCCAAAGACTGTAACCTCAACATGGCAACATATGACATGCAGGAGTCTGGTGTCGTTTCAGCCAGATCTTTTAAGGCATTGAGATTTTTCATTTGGCATTTTCTCTTGCTAGGATGCTCAACAGAAATCCACTGTATGGCATCAGATTTCTTACAAAAGTGAATGACAAGTAATAAATCAGCAGCTTCATAAAGACCACGCTCATGGTAGTGCAGAAATTACACACCAAAACTCTACAGCCTACTATAATGGCTATGCTTGTTACTTTCTTCTTGTCAGATTTCTTGCATATAGCTCCTCTATGCCTTTGTGACATATCCTGTCATATAATGATCAACTTCAAGGGAAGAATCGGAAGCGAATTGGATATCCATGCTGGCTTTCCAGATTAACAGCGAGAGAGGGCTATAGCCATTGATCCTAACCTCTGCTGATGAACTTGGCAAATGATAAATTTTTAAATCTAGATTTTAGGACAGCACTTTCAGTTTCTGAATGAGGAAAGCCAAATTTACACTTGGTAACATAAGCATTATTGTATTTCCTCTTG